AAATAAAGAAGTGAAAACCCGAGACTTAATATTTTTGTTTTTGTTTCGCCTTTCAAAACAAGAAATTCGTGGAACAGAGCGACATCGTGTTTGGTCTTTTTCCTAGTGTTTTCATTTTCCTGTCCGTCTATGAACTCTTCTACTGATGAATCTAGGCTCTGAAAACGGTTAGTCTGATTTGAAGCCATCTTTCTAAGGAAAAATGCGCCTAAGCTCTTAGAAATGTGCAATTTGTCAGTCAAGAAGAGCGGCGAGCGAGCGAGCGACACGGTTTTGTTCACTTGTGAAAATAATGATATAGCCAATCAGAGCGTCGATACGTCCTTTTTCACCAGTGAAAAAAAATCGTATGACCAATCAGCTGGCTCCTCTAGCGCGAAGAGACTATTTTTATCGCGATGCTTTTTGGCGCGTAAATCTCTTTATGTATATAATAAAAGTATTTATCTTTTCATCTGCAAACGAGTGATATAGAAAGAGAAGTAAATAAAATTTGTCATTTTGGTAACAGTTTTGAATGACATTCACCAAGTATTGACTTTAATACTGCTGCAATACTTTACTGAATATGAATATATGAATATAGTTTATAGCTGACCACTTGCAGCCCAGAGGATGAATTACGGGTGCAGTGTAAGGTTGAGAACAGACGTCAGCATATCAGGCGCCTCTGGCAGCCGCTTCAGTCTATCGATCTCACCTTCCCACCCATCCCATCCCAGGGGAGGACATCCATCACACAGCAATCTCGTGTGTGGGAAATTAACGTCTCCTATCCCAACCCTGCAGGAGACGGGACCCCCATTTATTCCTCCCTATCCGAGAAGACTAGAATATCTAACTATTTCTTGATGTTATAGAAAGGTAGCAAATTCTTCTCAATTATTTTAAGACCTTGAGTGTTGGACCGGCCGGGGCTCGAACCCTCGATCTCCCGCACAACAGTCCAGCGCACTATCCATTGAGCTTACCGGGAGGCGGTTATTCTGCTTCAACAGTGCATATAAACTCACAAACCAAACACTCACACA